CTCCCCAGGAATGTATAACATGGTGTGACTCCTGTCCACATTCTCGCCTTGCACCCCATGTCTGCAAAGGTCGTGCGACATGCGCATATCGGGTGTCACAACTGCTCGTTAAAAACGCAAGACTCAGCCAAGTGGTAACATAATGTATAGAGTCCGACAAACGCTCCGTGTTGGACAGGGAAAAGGAGAAGTGACCCAAGCTTCTAACAGAAGCCCCAGTACATAGCAGCCGTAACTCCAACCATCAACTTTAGCGCAGATATAAATTGTTACTATATGCCAGAGCACTCGCAATAAAGAACACAGGCCACTCAAGCGGATAGTTACAAAAGCATTGAATTGCAATCATTGCCCTCCTAGACGATCGTCCAAAGCATATCCATCGAACCTCAGAGACCATACACCTGACACATGGAAACTGCGATGAAAGTCACAAGTCCGTGTATGATGACCATTCTTAGAAAGAAGCGTTCAACAAAAAGCATCCCAAGACAAAGCCATGACTGTCATACCATGCTGACATGTGAGCATCACCAACTTCAGTACCAGCTGGAAAAAAAAAAACAGCATGCGTGCACCCGCAGATCCATCGGTCATAGCACTCTATGGAATACTGCACCGGAGGAAGAGGAGGAGAAGAAGAATAGAGAAAGAAGGAGAAGAAACAGAGGAAGAATGAAGGGGGGGAAGGGGGGGGTATCTCACCATGAAGAGCGAGTGGCCTTGACGGATGAGCCGCAACCTGCCAGTTATTCTCTCACTGCCATAGGGCGTTGGATGAACAGAAACATTCTCTTTCAAGTACACAACCTCATTTGATTCCGAAGTCCAGTTCGATGCTTGCTCCCACGACTTTCCCGACCCTTCAACCCCTTTCCCGCGCCCACGTGGTGTCTGCCAACAACACAAAAGAAACACAAATTCGTAAGTGCACCTTTGGAAGACATATGCTCAACGACTCAAACATGTACTTTCATTCCCGGCATCATCCATTCTAAGTTCTTTCCTCATATTTCCAGACTGCCCTTTTGAAAAAGCAGACCTCTCCCAGAAAAAACTGCCCTCCCACCCCACGCCTGGGAAAAAATGACTATTACTGAGGGATCCTACCAGCTCTTCATGCATATTAAACACTGCATGAAAAGAGGAGGTTGTTTTGGGGTTAAGAGGGGGTCAGGCCCTTTTCTAGTTAAGTATGGGTGCATCAATTAGGAGCCAAGTGCTGCTGAATCTCCCACCAAACATTTTGCTTGAAATTTTCGAGGCTGAGGGTCCTTGGTGACCAGAAGACATCCACTGGCAATTGTAATGCCAAGCAAAACGTTCAAGCCAGGACACAGTTCACAGTCTGCGTGAGTACCTTCTCAGGTAATTTGGTGCCACGTTGTTTCTCTCGTCTCGGGCTCGCTATCGACATCGAGCACGAATTGGGCCGTAGCAACAACCAGCTGCGGACCTAGTGCCCGAGAAAACCTCACATTGCGGAATTGTTCACGAAACCCGGGTCCAATGTAACCACCCACAGAGAGCTGCTCATTAATACCAGTACAGAAATCGCCAGCACCAAACACACTTCAGAGCAAGACGTATGAGACTGAAGTCCAAAGCAGGTGGATTTCTGCTGCATGTCTCCAAATTGCTGGAATTGAGATCAGAAATCAGACGAGTATCATTGACCCCCCGGTTCTCACCACTCTGCGCCAACCTCCCTGTCTAGGTCACCTTCTCATACCTCCAATAAAAAATTCTGACTGCAATTACGGCCCAACCTGGATGCATCTGATTGTAATCACATCTAGAGCTTGAGCGAAAAAAATCCAGTATTTGTATGCCCTGAGTCCCTTTAAAAGGGGAAAGGGAAAAGTTGAAATAAAAATGAAGTCCAGCAGTGACCTGCCAATATACACTGCTGCAGATAGAAAGCGCCATGGTACAGTAATTTGGCACCATAGCTCACCCCAAACACAACGTTTGTGGACCTATCATCTTCCCCTAGACTTGACAACTTCGTTTCATCATTCACCCAAAACAATCCATCACTTGTGAAATTCTTCTCCAACCCTGATATTGTTTGTTGGCAGGGTGGTCCCTCATGTGGAGGGAGAGCTTTCCAGGCCCTTCAGCCAGTTCCGTCCTCACCCAAACAGAACACACAATCATTATAGCTGTATATGGGGCAACTTTCAGTCTAGATACAACAATAATGTCCATGCGCTCTCACAACTTTCAGTCTAGACAACGGTACCTGTTGCGGCTTCACTTGCAAAGAGAGGGGGGGGAATTTGAGAACATTTGTGGGGTTTCTTCTTTTTTGGGCTGTGGGGTTGAGGCTCACATGTGCATTGTTGTTTATGCAGTTGCCGTAATGCTGCTTGATTTTTGGAAACCTTTTTTTTTTCCTTTTTTTTTTTTGCCAAGAGATTCTCTTCAAATTTGGCGGGCCGAGGGGGGGGCTAGGGCAGAGGGGGGAGCATGGGCGGCTGCATCGCGTTTTTTTTTTTTTAAAGCAGGGTTGGTCGGGGTGGGGGGGAGCGGCGGAAAAGCAGGGTCGGAGCTGGAGCGTGGGCGGAGTGGAGGACTGGAGGGTGGAGAGGGAGCGCCGGCGGAGCACAGTGAACAAGCGGAAGTTTTGGAGAGAGAGAGAGAGAGCGAGAGAGCGAGAGAGCGAGCGAGCGAGAGCGAGAGAGAGAGAGAGAG